ATTTTATTATAGGATCTTAACTTGATTATATCTATGATTATCAAAGCATTTGCATCTCCCTTTAATTGGCAACACAAAAGAATGCTTGCTTGAAAAAACTTCAAATATTTATCCCTCTGGATACACTGTATTACTTTAGAATAAACCAGAATATCAGAGGTTTAAGTGCATGAGCCATATTGCTTTGAAGGTTCATAGAATTTTGCTTTGCTACACTCACTGAAATAACTCTTGGGTTAAAAAGTAAATGAATGCTTATATGATGCTGCCAAAGCATATTCACAGGAAAATTAATGGTCTCAAATAAAGAATAATATTACATTAATTAAGGATTCAACCAAAAAATAAATAAAAGGGCAACAAAAATTAAAAAGCAGAGAATGAAAAAAAAGAGGAATTTCTAGTGGTAAGTACAGAAATAAATCAGAAATAAAAAATTAATATTGACATGTTAAAGAAACTTTAAAAAATGCAACCTGGACAGATATATAACTTATCTATTCTGGAGAGAAAAGAGAAGTCAGAAACATATCAATTTCATACTAATAATGGAGCTATAACCAGAAAAGGTATGTTTTAATTTGAGAAATCACACAACTCTGCTAATAAATTTGAAAATGAAAATGAAAAAGATAACTTAATGGAAATATATTCAGGAATATATTCAGGACCAAAAAGTAGAAAATGTAAGTAGATATATAAAAAAGAAAACAATTAAAAAACTTATGCAGGGTTATCTTCAAAAAGGGAAATGTGTCATAAGTGCATACAAATGTTAGAACTTACCAAATTTTACACTTTAAGTATGTGCTGTTTATTGAATGTAAATTATATCTCAAAAACGTTGCAAAAAAAGGGAAGTATGTCCATATGATTTTCTTGCTGAAATTATTCATACATCTTCATCGAGCAGGTCATTCTCATGCTACTTAAACTTTTACAAAAACAATGAAAATATGGAAAGTTTCCTAACTTATTTTATGAAGCTTGAATAATCTTGACACCAAAACCTTTAAAGAAATGAAAGCTATTAGTTAATTTTAGTTATTAATACAGATCCAAAAATTATCTCTATGCAGTTAACATTATATAAAAACAATCGTATGTGGAGACAACAAAGGTAAGTAAGCCTGGGAGGAGGGTCCACTGAGCCATCTGTAGACCCCAGGACATGTCTGATTTGCAAATGTTAAAGGGATTCTGTTGTAACCCAGTGCATCAATGAGTTACACAGAGTCAGTCTAGGACTACAGGCATTCAGGTATGAGAACACCCTGTGGCTTGCACTGGCAGGCCCAAGATGGACAGAATCTTGNAAACGTTGCAAAAAAAGGGAAGTATGTCCATATGATTTTCTTGCTGAAATTATTCATACATCTTCATTGAGCAGGTCATTCTCATGCTACTTAAACTTTTACAAAAACAATGAAAATATGGAAAGTTTCCTAACTTATTTTATGAAGCTTGAATAATCTTGACACCAAAACCTTTAAAGAAATGAAAGCTATTAGTTAATTTTAGTTATTAATACAGATCCAAAAATTATCTCTATGCAGTTAACATTATATAAAAACAATCGTATGTGGAGACAACAAAGGTAAGTAAGCCTGGGAGGAGGGTCCACTGAGCCATCTGTAGACCCCAGGACATGTCTGATTTGCAAATGTTAAAGGGATTTTGTTGTAACCCAGTGCATCAATGAGTTACACAGAGTCAGTCTAGGACTACAGGCATTCAGGTATGAGAACACCCTGTGGCTTGCACTGGCAGGCCCAAGATGGACAGAATCTTGGAATCCCTGAGACACATCAATGATAAAGAGTCTTGCCTCACAGAGAACTGGCTCTGAACTCCAAAGACTTCAGTGTTGTGTCAGTGTTATCGGAATTTTGGGAAAGCAAGTGAAGCTGTGGTGGTCTACAAGTCCAAAGCTTATCGTGAACCTCCCTTTGGGAGTTTAATGACCCTCCCAGGTGGACGATGTTTTGGCAACTTTCAGTGCTGCTTAAGTAGAGCTGAGGCCCGATGAGATGCAGCTAAAGGGGTCCTGGTCAACGCCCTATTCAGTGAGCTGCCCTTTCACAGGATCACCTAGGAATTCATTATAGAGAGTGTTCAGGAAGTAGTTGCTTGCACCAGCAACAATTTAGATGTGTTCATGACCCCAGCATCAGCATCTGAACCCATCACTCCATGTTGGAATCAAACATGGAGAAGATCATGTTTGGAATTTCAGGAACTGATGACAATTTCCCAACTATTGCATTGGAAGGGACGTTGAAAAGCCCTTTGCAAAACAAAGTATTCCCTACAGGAAGACGTCTCCTATATTTTCAATATTCCCTAGATGAAAAGATGAGCAGCAACATGGCCCTGGACTGGATCAAAATGAGTAAGAGTCAGGAATCCTTATAAGAGCAATCAACAGCCTTGAGACAGTTAGAGGTTAGCGAGGAAAGCAGGTTATAACCATGGTTTTACATAGAAAAGCAAGAAATCGTGAGCTTAGCCTTGACTCAGATCTATGGTGTCCTTGACACTTTCTCATCCAGTGATGAGCCGATGACCTGTGGGCTATCACGAGCAAGGCCAGGTCCCAGGTGGCCACAAGGATGGCAGAGACCAGGCAGGAACATTAGGAAACTCATCAATGGGCACCATGGGAGCTTTAGCACCTATAGCTACGACTTGAATGATGGATGATATGGTTTGGTACTCATATGAGACGCTGCTGGAAGTGGAAATAAGTATAAATCTGCAGGGCATGCAAAAACCTTAAAACACACAGCTTGTTTTACCTAGCAGGCCCATGATTGGGAATTTAGCCAAAGGAAATCTATAGTCATGTACTAGAATTCAAGGAGATGTGAATAGGATGTCCATTGCAAATTTGGAAATTTGGGAATCAGCTAAATTTTCAAATAAAAATGGATAATAAATAAATTATGATACAGCCATATGTATTGTAACAGGACATTTACTGTCATCAGAAAGTATTTGCACTGCAGTAAGGGACAAATAGATATCAAAAAGAGCATACTCTGTTGTGCTTGTATTTTCTAATTTTGCACAATTAAAACTCACTATTTTTGTAATCATCAAGGGAAGATATTTTAGAATGAAAAGAAAATGGTATGAAGCGTTATACTATAAAAATATTTTTTGAACATGCTTCTGCCATGTCTGTGAGGGTTAAAATCGTGGATCCTGAACTCACAATATTTGTGACTTGGGTAACTTCTCTGTGCCTCATTTTCCTCATCCGTAAATTGATATTGAAGTCATACCTACTCCGAAGGATTGCTGTGAGGATTAAAGGAATTTACCTATGTGTGAAGTACTTCCAGTTGTCTTCACACATATAAGGGCTCAATAAATGTTATGGTGAATAAAGTATAGTGACCTTTTATGGATAAACCGTGGGAAAAATTCTACTCAGTTTACAGTATCAGGAAAAGCTGTGCATCTCTAGAAAGATGTTTTAAAATTTAATAATATAGTAAACCTGAAAACTTAGCATGCTTCCTCCTTTCTTGGACTGTTAGTTCATAAATTCTGTGCCAAATTCCTGGCCACCTCTACTAACACAACCAGATAGATTTTCTCTGCTCATTTAACTTACTACTGTATTATTTTTCCACCAAACTGCCCTTTATACGAGGATTTCCAAGACATCCACTTAAATTTTAATTTCAGATAAACAATAATAGTTTTTTTTAGTATTGTGTACCAAATATCGCATGGGGCATACTAAAAAAAAATATGGCTATTTATCTGAAATTAAAATTTAACTGGGAATTCTGTTTTTCTTAATTAAATCTGGCAACCTTACCTTATACATTATATTTCTTTATTATTAAGTGCCTCAGAAGTTTTGTGGAACCATATTGAGGAATAAATGAATGAATGAGTAAATGAATATATGAACCAAAACATACCCTGGGTTGAAGAAAATATTTGAGATGTCTTAATCTCTGAGGAAATAAATCTGTAATGGCTTATAATAGAATTGTAGTCAATCATTCGTAGATTGGCTTTTTAAATTAATACTTGACATTCACCCTTTTTTCCTTCTATTTTACTTCTCCTTTTTTTCATTTACCTCTCTTTTTCTTATAGCTCTTCTTTTATTGATATTCTAATGAAAAAGAAACACTTGGAAGAGTTTTATATTCACACATATGAGAAAAATACAGTTATAAGAAAAGGTTAGGGATTATTTAGCCCAGTGAAGTGAGAGCTGAATAGTGATTTAATATTAGCACAAAGTGATTTTTCAAATTCTCTTTGATTACTGGAAGAAAGGGCCTATTGATCTTTACTTTGTAGGCAATAGAAGGCAACAGTAGGGCTTCTAACTTTATGTGAAAAATACCGGAGCAGCACATTACTGACAAGGACATTATGTTTGTCTGATTATTATGTTCATTTCAGGTAAACTTTTTGGATTTCATCCCTTTGGGAAATTTACTGTGCAATTTATGTCTTCCAGAAGAGTCACCAAGTACCTTCTGGACTTCTTCCCCAAATATTTCAGACCATTCTCTGACTTTACAGCATCTTTTCACACATCTTTTATCAATTCATATTTTAGAGTGAAACATATGATGCCGTAGTTAATGAACTACTTCCTGACAATACTAATCCATGTTAGCTTGTTTGCCTGTCTTAGATGACTACATATATGTATCTTATATTCAGTCTTCTTAACATATCCCTGTGCTCTCTGTTTCCAGGACTGCTGCTGCATCCCATGTGAAAAGCAGGAAATAAAATGAAGATTTTTCAGTGCAAGACGCAGTGCTGGCTGTTTTCCGCTTTTTTGGCGATTGCTTACTTTTGCACCATTGTCCAGGCTCAAGGTAATGGGAAACTATGATAATTATTAAGGTCTGGAACTCTAGCTGTGTTGGTTCTGATGATAATTTTTAAAAATGGTATTTACCCTAATAGTGCTTCACTGGTTCAAATGTGTTTCTAGGCAGAGTCATATGTTGGTTTTTACTCATTATTACCAACTGTTTACATTGTAGAAATGTGCCACAACTTTGATGAGGGTTACAACCTCAGGAGTGACTGACTGAGCATAGTAATTTTGTGGCAGTTGGTTAAATGGCTCATTCTAAACTTGTTTCTTTTCAGGCTGTGCAAATTTAATCAGTAACGTCACATTTTCATGTTACAAAATCAGTTCTATTAATAAGGAGCTATAATGTGTGTATATTTGTATCCCAATCATGCCTTGTCTCTTAGAGTGTCTATGATATATTTCTACCACTGCATACTTGGCCTTTAATTTTGCTCCTTTCTATAAAAACTGAGCACATAGTCTACAGGTGACTAAGGGTCTGACAGAGGCTGCTGATACGTGGTTTTAAGCATTTCTAATGATTTCTGGCTTTGTTTTAATATGAACTTAGTTTTTGAAATCTATTGTTTATATTACTGGAATCTTCACTTTTAGTTTTGAATTCCACTCATTTTTATTAAGTATGTCAGGAGTTGGCAAACTACCATCTACAGGCCAAATCTGGCCCACTGCCTACTTTTATAAATAAAGTTTTATTGCAACACAGCCATGCTCATTTGTTTACATATGTCTGTGGCTGCTTTCACACTGCAATGGCAAAGCTGAGTAGTTGTAACAAAGACCCACAAAGGCCCAGAAAGCCTAAAATATTTATCTGGCCCTTTACAGAAAAAGTATGCTAAACTCCAAAGTAAGTGTATAATGTACATAAAACTGCTCAAAGAGACATTACTAGTCAAACATGGCAATCCTGCAGAAACAGAAATTTTGGTGCTGAAATAGTCATTCATCAGCTGAGCAAGGAAGTCTAAATGTGATAAGGTTGTTTGAGGAATATTGATGTCTCATGTTTGGAATTTAAGGTTGTAGAAAATCAAATGCATGAAACGTTACGCCTTGGTTTCTTAGTATGAGGCGCACTTGTTTGGAAAGGACTGGAACTTGACTCTTTGCATGCTTCAGTAGTGTTGAAACACTGTAAGTGAATGACCATATTTCCAACACTTCATGCAACATAAATGCATCAGTTGAATAGAAAAATTCTGCCTATGTTATTTACATTGATAAAAGAATGCTTTCAGCTGTGGCAATTAGAAAACTGATCATAGAAATCCTAGATAACTCACCCACTAAACTTTGGGGTACAGGATATTGGCCCTGAGGAACAAAGGGTAGGCAAATCACGAAGCCCTTCAGACCTGCCATCTCCATCTAGCTTAATTCAGAAATGGTCATTCACGGAGTAAGGGACCATATAGAGCTCTTCTGGGGGTACCTTCAGGGATGCTGTCAATCAGATATACAGTGTCAGCCAAAATTAACAGTTTTCAGTTAACTTTTATGGGGCACATACTGTGTGTCAGGTTCAAGTCCCAAAGCTGAATGAAACGTCACTCTACCTTCCAACAGCTGACTCTCCACTGGAGAGACAGAAGTGTAAACAGATTAAATCCAATACAAGTGGGGATGTGGCCACAGACAAAGATGGAAAGCTAGACTGTAGGCAGATTACGGAGGGTTTTAAACAGCTCTGGTTTTTAGAGACACTCTGATAACAATATTGCTGACACTCATCATTGTGACTCATAGGGATTTGAGGGATAGGAATAACTAAAGCAAGATAGATCGTTAGAAGATTATATTAAGTTGTCTAAGAGCTAAGTGTCAAGGGCCTGAAGTAGGCAGAGGAATAGAGAGAAGAGAATGAATCCAAGAAACATTTAAGAGGTTGAAGAGATAGGACTTGTTTACTGATTAGATATGGAGGGAGCTGAAAGAGGGAAATACAGCAGTCCCCCCTTATCCATGGGGGGGGTACATTCCAAGACCCCCAGTGGATGCCTGAAACTAAACCCTATCTATACTGTTTTTTCCTATACATACATACCTATAATAAAGTTTAATTTATAAATTAGAGCACAGTAGGAGATTGACAACACTAACTCATAATAACATAGAACAATTATAAAAGTATTCTGTAATAAAAGTTACGTGAATGTGGTCTCTCCCTCTCTCTGATAACCAATCTTATAATTGAGATGGCTGCAAAGTGACTCATGGGCAGGTGGACAAAGGGAGACGCTGGACAAAGGGACGATTTATGTCCTGGGATGGTACATGATTTCATCACATTACATACTCAGAATGGTGCACAATTTGAAACTTATGAATTGTTTATTTCTGGAATTTTCTATTTCATATTTTTGGAATGTGGTGGACTATAGTTAACTGAGACCACAGAAAACAAAACTGTGGATAAGGCGGGGCTGCCGTATCAGAGATGACTTGGAGGTTTTTTGCTGGAGAACTGAGTAGATGGGGCCTTTAATTTCAACTCCTGTGCTATTATTGCTTCTATATCTTCGTGTCGTAATTGCTTGTTTGCCAAAGCTCATTAAAGGAGTGGTTCTTTCTTTAGTTTCTGTATTTCCAGGACAGAACAATGTCTAGTCATGGTAATGGTAGATATTTGGTGAAGGGATTAATAAGAGAATAATGGATGAGGCAAGTATTTGAAGCTGAAGATAATAAGTTCAGTCTTAGACAAATAGATGTGGAACTTGAGGGGCTAATGGGACATCCAGGAGGAGTTGTCTGGTAGATAGTCGGTGGTCTGGAGCTTGGGAAACAGAGATCAGGGCAGGAGATTATATCTGAATTGTATTGCACTTGAGGATTAATTTGTAGGGACCTTTGAGGTTTTAGAGGTAGAATTAGGAAGAGATGGCTCAATGGAGAGAAGTGAGGATGAAATCTGGCAGACATCAACTGTTCAGAGGTTAAAGGAAGAAAAAGATCTGATTGAAAGTGTCACAAAGCACTTATAAGGAGGGTTAAGGGACTATAGTGGCCTGGAAGTGAAGGAAGATGGCGGGCACATGCTGGGGGACATCCCAGTAGGAAAAGGCTTCAGATGTCATTGGCTTTGATTTTTAGGAAAGTATGTGAGATGTTTGAGAAACCACATCTTATTTCTACCACGATGCCATTTTTCTTTTCTTTTCTTTTTTTTTTTTTTTGCATGATTGATTTTGAGCAGAGCATAAAGCATATGAATTGCTTTATTTGATTTTCTGCTTTTAAAGCAGATGTGGTAGTGAGTTCCTGTGGGTTGGCCAATTTTGACGTTAATTTGCAAAGCCATATGTAAACATGTTTACTATTCAATAAAGTACTTTGCTAATGGAAGGTGTGTTGACTTGCTAGCTGACACTAATTATTCTCAAACCTAATATTTTTATAGACATTTTTGGAGTCATGTTTATTCACAAAATGAATAATAATAATAATAATAAAAAGGTCAGTGTAGTAGGCAGAATAATGTGCCCACAAAGATGTTCATAATCCTAATCCTCTGAACCTGTAAATACATTATATCATATGGCAAAGGGGAATTGAGATGCTGGATGAAATTAAGGTTGTTAACCAGCTGAAAATAGGAGGATTATCTTGGATTATCTAGGTGGATCCAATTTGGGCCCAATTATCAGGGATCCTTAAATATGGAAGAGAGAGAAGAGGGACAATGTCAGGGTGATGCTGTGTGAGAAAGAGGTGACCAGCAATTGCTGGCTTTGGAGATGGAAGGGGCCTCAAGTCAAGGAATGTGGAGAGCCTCCAGAAACTGGAAAGGGCAGGAAACAGATTCTCCCCTAAAGTCCCCAGAAAGGAACACAGCACTACCGACATCTTGATTTTAGCCCCATGTGAGACCCATGTCAGACTTCTGACCCCCAGAACTGTAAGGTAATACGTTTCTGTTGTTTTAAGCCACTTTGTGATAATTTGTTTTAGTAGCAATAGAGAATGAAAGCAGTCAGTATGAAAAGGCATACAGGACGTTAACTCTCACCTCTTAAATTGCTAATCAGCAGAATATGCTTTAGCACTTCGCCTCTCCAGGTAATTTCTTTATGAAGAAGTTCCCTTCTCTAGAGAATGTAAACCCACATTGGCTCATAGAACTGTTTATACCTATAGTTCAGCGTCGTCTTTTCAAGACAAGCTGTTAAATGAACTGGAACACAGACAAAATAATGTTGTTGGCTGTAGGGAAAAAAAAATGTGTATAACATGACAGAATGGTGGCACCAGTACTTCCTCAGAATTTCATAGTAAGTCTGCGCTTGGTTCTAGCAATGTTTGTTTTGGATGGTTCCAAGCAGGAACCACTGAAGGTAAAGTAACTGTCATTTAAAAAACCTCAAAATATATGAAATTGGAGACTTTGCATTGGGGCTAGATTTAACTTTATAAAGACCGCTGTGTTAATACACTTACACTAACACTTTTTTTTTCTTTTTCTGTTATTGGTAGTCAAATATGTTAGGAAGTGGAGAGTATTTTCCCTATGGCTGTTTTCAGCATCTTTATAATGGGTCATGAAATTAAAACATATTGGGTGCTAAGCAAGATAAAAAGATCCCTCGAGTGTATCCCACAGTAATTTTCTCTCAGATTTTAATTTCTTCAATTTATAGAACATTTGGGCAATGCATTTAATTGAAAAATGGCTGAGATAAAAAGCTAAGGTTCTGTTTTTGGTTTGTTGTTGTTGGTTTTTTTTAGATCACTTGGAAAAATAAACCAAATACTTCTCTGCTGTTTAGAGGTCTTTACTTAATAAAAATAATAAGTTGACCCATTGATATGGCAACCTGAACTATGTTTTGAAAGGGAAAACACTCTCAGTGCCCATACTGCTCCATCTCTACCAGTCAGAGATCTTTGGTGCCAAATAAAAGAAACTATCTCTGGCCAATTGAAGCAAAAAAATGTATTTACTGATAGGTAGTGAAGTAGCTCATAAAATTAAGGTAAAAATTAAATAATTAAGCTTTGATAATGATAGGAATATGGGAACACCCTAGGTCTAAGTAGGTCTAGTTTCTAGGAACTAGTGACCATTTTTAAAAAAAATTTGTTTAGAGCATGTAATTGGAATGAAATGATGACCTATTTTCCATCCTTCCATCATTGGGCAGATTTTTGGGAGAATTGGCCTGACCTCCTACCCCTTAGCCAGGGGAGGATGGCTGGTTGATAATTGCTGCAGCCAAGGCCCCATGCAGTGGGGAGGAAGTGTTGTTCCTTGAAAGAAAACCAAAGTGCCATTAGAAGAGGAAGGGGGGAGGTGATTATGGGGAGTGAAAAGCAGAAGATCTCCGTTTCAGTCCTCCTGTGTAAAAAGTAGCATTTCAAGAAACTAACGAGATCCAGTCGTCTACCGATGGGCATTTCAGTTGTTTCCAAGTCTTGGCTATTGTGAATAGCGCTGCGATGAATACAGGGGTGCATATATTTTTTTGAATTAGTGTCTTGGGTGTCTCTGGATAGATACCTAAGAGTGGAATTGCTGGGTCACAAAGTAGTTCCATTTCCAGCTTTTTGAGGTGCCTCCATACTGATTTCTATAATGGCTGCACCAGTCCGCAGTCCCACCAACAGTGCACCAGGGTTCCCTTTTCTCCACAGCCTCGCCAGCACTTGGTTGTTGATTTATTGATGATAGCCATTCTGACCCGAGTGACGTGGTATCTCATTGTGGTTTTTATTTGCATTTCTCTAATGATTAGTGCGGTTGAGAGACTATTTCATTAGAAGTAAACTTTTGCATAGGTTGTCACTTGTCAAAACAGCAAGATTTCAGTTGAGTTGAGTTGACGTGAAAGAAAGGAAGGGAGAGAGGAAGAAAGGAAGGAAGGCAGGAAGGAAGGAAAGAAGAGAGAGAATGGCAGGAAATTGGCTCTTTGATAAATAGTCATAATACGAAATAAAATGTCTCGAGTATCTGAAAACAATGAGTCTTCACTGAAATATAACATAAGAATTCCTTTTTTTTTCTTTGCCTATGAGATTTGATTTCTGAGAATGATTGCAGTGAAATGCTTGGGGTTTAAAGAAAATCTTCTCTCTCAAAAAAATACATTATCAAACAAAAATACCCCCGTACTTTCAGTAACAAGCTTAATCCTATACTAGAAAGAAACATAATGAATGGACCCTCCTTGGTCTTCCTCCTCAATCCCCCTTTGGGATGAAGTTCATATATTCACAAATGCTATATTTGGCCCAATCTATCATAGGAAGCCTGACTTTACCATGCAAAGACTGAGCTTGTTAGCTTGCTCTTGCTTCTTATTGTGTGCCAGACATCAAACTTGACACTTCGCTTTTGTCTTTTTAAAAAGTTTAGGATTTTAACTGACACAATTAACTGTTGAGTCAAGTTCATGCAAGCATTTATAATTATGACTGGAAGTTAAGTATACGTATAGAAGCACTTCCTTTGTGCTCACAAAAAGAAAAATCATGGGCCTGGTATTAAATATACACACATATTTGTTCCATGAGATAAGGACAATTATTTCTCCGCTGCACTTACAGTACTTCTGTCAATCTTGCTGCACTTGCTTTGGCACAAGTCCCAGTGCCTTCCATACAGGAAAAAGGGAACTAACTTTGAAATCCCAAACTGTAACCTCATGCTTCTCTCTTTCTTAACTAACATTTCTTCTTTTCAGTGTTTCCCCCACTAAAGGCAAACGCTTATAGGAAATGTGAAATTTGTGTCTCACTAAGATTTTCTTTCAGTGATTGTGAGAGCATTTATGCTTATATAGGCAATAGATGTGGTCCACTGATAAAAGAAAATGGTGGTATTGCTTTTTGCTAGCGGTTGTCATGGGACCATAGTGCTATGGACCATTTGTAAATTGTTTAAAATTGATGGATATGAATATTGATGAAGCGTTTGCTTCACATTTTATTTCTTTGAGTGCTTCAATGGAAGCCAGTGCCCCTCTGGGTTCTGGAGCACATCCATCCTTGTTGTACAAGCTTGACCTGTGCTATCAGGGCGTGGTCGGTGCTACCCTCATTACTTTCTCCTGGAGGCTCACGAGGTTAGCTCGCCACTAAAAAATATTACAGGCTGTAAACTCAGACTGGGTTAAAGAACAATATCCTGGCTGGAAAATGCTGTCAAGATTTCTAATCGTTAAGCTAGGAAACCTGAATGTGGTTAACTTCTTTGTTCTCCTTGAGATGTCAACACACTTGTGGTGCTGACAGTCTCGGTTGCCCCTCTTGGAATAACCTGGGCTGAAGCTTCCATTCTGCTTGTACTTTTCCACTGGATGGTTCCCAGGCATGCCAGCTTTCTTTCACCAGGCCTTTCATGCAAAACGTTGCAATAAGCTAGCCCGATGATGTCCATCAGCCTGCTGACAAGGTTTGGCTCAGAAACTGGATATATTGTTTACATTTTTAAATTCTTATTTTTGATAAAATAAGCAATAGAAACCTATGTGTAAATAGATTTTTCTCCCCAATTTCCAGACTAAGCAAAGTAGTAATAGTTTCTCTGTTCATCCAAATGTCAGGTTAGCCACCTCCCTCTTCTATTTCAAAGTACAGTAAAACCTTGGATTGCACGTAATTTGGTTTGCAAGTGCTCCACAAGATGAGCAAACATTTCTATTAGGTCTATTATGATTAATGGCAAAAACCGCAGTTATTTTTGCACCGACCTAATAATACATTTTACCTTGGTAAATGAGCGATGTCTTGTGATATGAGTAGTTGGTTTCCGGAATGAATTATGCTCGCAAACCGAGGTATTAACGATAATTGTTTTTATGATAAGTCTATTTTCCCATAAGCCAGAGAAATGTAAGCTCTTTCTTCCATTCCTGTCAAATGGAAAATGGGAAGCTAATGTTTTTGTTTTGCATGACCAACACTCTCTACTGAGAGGTGGCAAAGGGTACTAGAAAGAGAATTCTACTCTTAAGATTGCATCCTTCAGTGCTGACTGATTTCAGATGAGCAGATAGTCTCGAGAGGAGTCAATTGCTCATTCATCTCGCTCAATGAAGGGTGACTTCTTTATGTGGATGTTCTCACAAAGGAACAGAGCATTTCATTTGGGGTCAGAGATTGTCATTCACCAATATGTGAACTTGGAAAAGTCTCTGAGCTTCTCTTTACTTCCGTTATATATAAAATTGGGATAACAATGTATTTTTGTGTTAGATGAGCTTGGGTGATGACGCATAGATGAAGTAAGAGGGAAGAGGAACAAATATTTATTGACCACCTGTTATAATGCATTATGTGTATTATCCTATTTATCATTTATCATGTGAGGAAAGTATTGCTGTCACCTTTTTAAAAAAAAGAAGGCTATGGTGCGACAACATGAATGGGCCTAGAGGATATTATGTTAAGTGAAATAAGTCAGACTGAGAAAGGCAAATTCCGTATGATTTCACTTATATGTGGAATTTAAAGAACAAAATAAATGAACAAACAAAAGAGAAACAGACTCAGATGCAGAGAAGAAACTGATGGTTGCCAGAGGGGAAGGTTTTGGGGGATGGGTGAAAAAGGTGAAGGGATTAAGCAGTGCAGATTGGCAGTTATAAAATAGTCACAGGGATGTAAAGTGCAGCATAGAGAATATAGTCAATAATGTTGCAACAACTATGTATAGTGCCAAGTAGGTACTAGACTTCTCAGAGGGATGGCTTTGTAAGTTATAATATATAAGTGTCTAACCACTATGCTGTACACCTGAAACTAATATAAAATAATATTGAATGTCAACCGTAACTTAAAAAAATAAATAATAATAAAAAAATAAGGCTTTGGAAGAAACAGTCATTTGCTCAAGGTTATTTATCTAATGAATGACACAACTGAGAATCAAACTGATGTCCAAACCCCATATTATATTAGATGCCTATTATGGAGAATGGTTGTTTTCTTCTCCCATACTCTGTTTCCTAAAGTGAGAAAGAAAGGCTGAGCATACAAGTGGTAATAAGAGCAAACTTTTCTGTTAAGTTTTAGCTTTCTTTTTTTCAAACTAATTTAGATATTACATAATAAAAATCTTACTTAAAGTATTTCTTTTTAAGTTCTGTAACATTGATGTAGAGTTCCAAAAATGTGTTTTTAAATTTGAATGACTTAGCACAAAAAGCTACATAGATCTACCCATTTTGTGAACCATCAGACAAGTTTACATATACTGGGGTGATTTATGACCATGTGCTTTGTATCATTCTGAAATGTATAAATCAGTTATACTTGAACAATAAGTCAAAGTTTATAAAATTATCTTTTATTTGGTTCTTTTTTATTTTGGTCCTTTACAATCTCTTTCTCAAATTTTTTAAATGATATCTTATTACTATAATATGTCCATAATAGCCTTCTTAAATTACCTTATCCAAACAGATATTGGATTACTAAAGTGAAAAGCCTAACGCCATAAAACAGGTCCCGGTAGAGTTAGATTATAAAAGCTTACATGTTCCAAGAAGAAAAATTTATTCTTATAACGACAGCATTTTACAAGATTGGCTCCAATTTTTAAACCAGACTAGAGTATTAAATTCTAACCCTAAGTCACAGTTCTTTGCCATAAGGTCAGTACTATTTGACAAATGCTTATCTCTTGAGTAAGAAACAAATGCTCTTAGGTTGGTGTGATTTTTGCCAATGATTAACTCATTAATAGGGTTGTAGAAAGAACATGTTTTGAGACTGAAGAAGTCTTATATGTTTTGATGAGTTTGACTTTTTAATTTAACAAATGGAAGCTTAAATGTTTCAACATTTAAACATTTTTTTTTCCTTTTCAGTGGCTTCACCCACAAGGTTAAGATATAATGTATTATCTCATGATAGTATACAGATTTCATGGAAGGCTCCAAGAGGGAAATTTGGTGGATACAAACTTCTTGTGTCTCCAGCTTCAGGTAAAAACAGTCAACTATATTTTCTAGAGTTTAGCAATGTTTACACATAGGTAACTAAAAATGTGTAGGTTTTTTTTTTTAATTTAATATTTGAGCTTGAAATCTTACCTTTGAACCAGGAAATAATGGTCTCAAAGTCTAAAGACTGACCATTGGGCTCATCATAATTCTCGTCAGGTGAAATTTCCAGATTATCAAAAATTCTTACTGCCTCCTTCATTTTCAACATAGGATGAATACTTTTGGTCTATTGACACTTAAAAAAAAATACAATACATCTGGATGGCCAACATCTGTTACTGGCTCAGTAAATTATGATTAATTAACTAGATAGAATATTATTCAGTGATAATGCATTAAAATTATGAAAGCTAAGTAGACATTGTGAAAATAAGTGATAAATTCAAGCAGGAAAAGCAAAAGTTAAATTTATTGATCATGAATATAAAGTAGTTATGTAAAAAAGATGCTCCTTAGTGTATTGCTCAGGTATCATTTCTTCTAGGGTCCATTTTCACACTGTATGTAATAAATGCTTAATAATAGCATATTTGTATAATATGTATTTATATAAATATAGTAATTGTTTCTCTTTATTGGTGATAAAGATAGTTATATGGATGGAACTGGACTCCTTTTGATTGCAAGCCTTTTCCCTGCTCATATAATGAAGCTCTATTGTTCTCAAGTATGGGTCTCTTACCTCATAATAGGTTTTAAATCTCAAACAAAACAAGCAGATGAAACACCTCATTTTTTGCATGGCCACTAAAAAGGGACCTTCTTTTATTAACAAATATTATGCATAGGCTCCTTCTAATGACTCCTGGTTTAGTGCTCCCAAAGGCTAACTTTTCCCATCTTGGCCTACAGAAGTGACTCATGTGTGGAAAGCAGTATTTTCTTCTGTTTGATTCAGAGTTTGCATTTTGGAACATGGCCAATTTTGAAATAACTTTGACTTTTAAAAGTAAAATTTGTTTTCTAAAATAAGCCATGCTGGGAAATTTAAGTTTAACAGATTCTTGAACAATATTATGACTTAAAGGTCAAAATATAAATTTCTTTCTTTCTTTTTTTTTTTTAAAAGAGTTTATTGAGGAATTGGGGGAGGGGAACAGTGCTGGGGAATTGGAAAAGGGGAACAGCCAAGTTGTTGTCCTTCAGTCTTAGTTGTGGAGGGCACAGCTAGCTCAGCTCCAAGTCCAGTCACCATGCGGCTGCCCATCGGTATCTCGCGGACTCTCAGCTCAAGGTGCCCTGTTCACTCTTAGTTGCGGGGGCACGCAGCCCACCATCCCATGAGAGAGTCGAACCAGCAGCCTTGTCGTTGAGCCATCCTGCTGCCTGTTGGCAGCTCAGCTCAGGCCCAGCTCAGTGGCCCATGTGGGAATCGAACTGGTGGCCCTGTTGCTCAGAGCTCATGCTCTTAACCAACTGAGCCACTTGGCTGGCTCCCAAAATATAAATTTCTAATGTGTGATACCTCTGAGAATTCCCCATGTTCCATCTTGAAAGGTACTTTTTTTTTCCCCTCCAGGTCATCCGGGTTTTAAGTTTTCCTGATTAATTGCTGATAATACCAATCTGTTAAGTACCTCAGGCAGGTGTCATTGGGCAATCATAGAATCTGAAAAGTGATTTGGGTGGTCTTTGAGCCAAACCTCAGCCTGGCTCTTCAATTCCTTCTGCCAAAGCACATCTGAAAAGTAGATCTCCAGCTGTTGCTTACACACCTCCAGTGACAAAATAGAAATTGAGGATGAAAACAAGTTAGTTCTTCATGAATACTGGGAATATTTTCCCCAGTGACCCTATGTCCTTCCTGCAGTGACCCAAGCCAATAATACAGTCTTGACACTCTGGTATCTACTTGATCAGACATTAAAATAAATAGCATAAATAGAAAGAGTAATAAATACATCTAGACACAAAATGTTTGTAGACATTTTAACACTATAAGACATGTTCCAAGTATTGTTTATACTAGTCTTTCCCAAAACATATTCTGTGGTATTCTTCAGGATGCTAATAGCTATTACACAACCAAACTGTTTAACGGACAAATAAATTTGAAAAGTGCCATTTTAAACAGCATTTGAAGCTTTTTTTATTACAGGATTCTCAATGCTTTTAAAATAATACACTCCATGCCTCTCCGAGAGGGATTCTAATACAGTTTTCTAAGGATTTTTTTTGTGTATGTGAAACATACATTATGAAAGATTAAATGGGTGCACTTTGTCACAGATGAATTTTAAATGATAGAAGTTCATGAAACCAGATTTAAATCTTGGACACAAACGCATTTAAGGAAATGGGTTTTGGCAAGCAAAAGGCTAAGTTCTGCTGTCTAACAGCAGGAGGCATGGGTGGAAGCATCAAATTTCAGACTTAAAGTCATTAATTTTATTAGAATATGAGGAAAATATATTGTAATCTGTGTTCTGTTTTATTAATTTGGCAAATTTCAGACCCTTTTTGCAATTACTGCTAGAAGGGCAGACGTTTTAAGTTAATTTTCCCTTTTCTTGACATAGTAGTCACTGTCAGGAATGGGAGAAGAAAGGTATACATGGAACTTTGTATAAAAGATTGAGTATTTAGTCAACAGCATTTTCAGGAAAGCCTTAGATGTCAGTTTAATTTGATGGAGAGATAATGGGGGTTTGAAATCTTTTCATTAACCAAGCTAACTTTTAAGTAGCCAGGGAATGAGTGATTCCTTCAACATCCTGAGCCAGTAATACTCAAATTTAAGACAATTAAATTGCTCATGCTTCAAGGACGCTTTGGCTGGCTTTAGAAAGGCCATAGGAAAAATTCCAGTGTAGATAAGTGCATTCAGCCTGCCGATATCTCTACCTTCGCTTTTAAGTGGAATTCTTTCCTTGAAGAGTGTATCCAATGGTGAGGGCTTACTGTCTTTTAATCTGGTACTGTGGTTTTCTCTAGTGTATAAAAGCAATAGTATGTTATGATGAAAGATGTTTGTGAATGTGTGTTTTAATCTAACTTCGACAACTGTTTGTCTAAAGCAAAGACTGAAAATGAAAAGAGTAAATTACAATTAAGTGCTGTGCATATACGTACCATGATATACATTTTTAAATGTCTTCACCTTTTAAGATGATTCCTGGTTAATAAAATTTCTTAATGTACACAGTTAACCTATTTCTTAGAACTGATTTATCTTCCTGTTTTATTGTAGGTGGAAAAACTAATCAATTGAATCTCCAGAACACGGCAACTAAAGCAATTATTCAAGGTCTTATGCCAGACCAGAATTACACAGTTCAAATTATTGCATACAATAAAGACAAAGAAAGCAAGCCGGCCCGAGGTCAATTCAGAAGTATGTATTTAGAGATCTTAAAGTGCCACCATGGGACCCTGTCCCAGCTCTGAATTTGAGTCTGTGGTGAATATTGTAATAGTTAACATCCTAAATTGTTTAGATTTGAATAGATCTTAAAAGACATTTAGTACAATCTTCCATGAGTCCCTTCTATCATGAATACTCTTCTGCTTGTCTCTGTACTTTTTCACTGTACTCGTGTTTATCCTTTAAGTTTTAATTTTCAAATGCTCTCCCTGACACTGTAACCTAAACCTTACCCAGACATCTTATCTACCCAGCACATAGTAGGTGTTCAATAAATACTTAACAGATGACTGAATCGATGATGCCTGCACCTCCTCTATCCCTAGCAAGTGCCAACCTCGCCTCCACAAAACCAACCTATGTAACAAGGAATGGAACTCTTTCCAAAAGTTAATCAGTTGACATTTATGGTCGGCATGTTATGTGCCAGTACCCATGACAAACAGATTTGTGAAAAAATACTACATGGTAAGCATTAGAGAGAGAGGTCTATTCAGGACTGTGTGAAAGGAGGTGTCCTTTCTGCCCCCACAATGGGCTGGGAAGAGAGTGGATGGGGGTTGGCTCCATGTTTGGGCCAGTTCTCAAATAGTAAGTTGGGTAGACAGAGAAAGGGCACGTAGAGACATTCTCAGCAGGGGAGAAAGCGCTGAGGCAGCCCAGTCCATGTCTGCACTGTTCCTTTAGACAGCTTTCATTTCTGTTGAGTTTAAATGTTGTTCACAGGGGCCCTGATTCTTCTGCCTTTCAGGAGATATTCATTTATTTATTTATTCAACAAATATATATCGCATGACTACTAAATGCCAGGCCCTGTTCTAGGTAATGGGACATGACAGATCCCTGTCCCTATGGCCCTTATATTCTAGTGACCAGAGATTATGCAGGCACCCCCTCTTCCTGGAGGTGGACTTTCAAATGTGGAGGGCAGACAGAGTTTTGTGTTATCACGAATGCAACAGAAGAGGCCTGTCCTGGGTAACTTTCTGTGTTACTTCATTGTTAAGATAGACTCTTTAAAAAAAGCCAACTTATCATTAAGGGCAATTTTAAATGTAATTTAAAAAGCTGCAGAATAGCACAATGAACCCCTAAGTAGCCATTGCTCGCTTCAATAATTAGCCACGCATGGCCAGTCTTGTTTCGTTTATTACCCCACCCCCATATTATTTTGAAGAAAACTCTAGGCATAATTACAAGTAACAATAGCTTTTTACACCCTGCCACTAGAATGAACCCACAAACCTGGGAGGCTATGGGTTTTAGGACTGTGTGAGTAGCACTGCTCTACCTGGATTTTCTCTCTCTCCCTCCTTTTTTTTCTTCCCCTTCTAAGTAAAGTTTTATGAGACATATTTTGTGATTTTTTTTTTAATTAAAAAAAACAAAACACAACAACTTTTTTAACCTGCTACCTCTGGAAACTTCCAAACAGAAGACATTTGGTAAATCTACCTGTTAGCAGGACACACACATGTTTTAAATGTTACATTCTTTTGAGATTTGCATTGTCTGGAAGTTCAGGAAAAGGTTTTTAATGTTATTTTCAATATAAATCAGCCTTCTGTCTCATTTGATTGGCACCGTGCCTCAGTTTCTGGCCTCTGACATTTCTACATGAATAGGCAAAATAACTTTAACTTTGTGAGAAACAGTAAAAGGGACGAAGAAAAATGATGCATTTTACAATACTCTAAAGGTCTGGCGATTGGTGATTTCAAAGATTCCACTGACTGAACAGCCTAAGAAGCACAGGTAGCCTTTAAAAGCTTTCCCAACAGCTATTTGCTCAAAAGACTTAAGGCCACGCTGTTATTTGTCCTTAGATTGCTTAGCTTTGCTGAAATAATCCCAGTGCAACAGTCTACCTAGTTGGTTGGATAAGTTGTATGTAAGCATATGTTTTTCTAGCTGTGTTATTTTTATTGGCAGGATGGAGGGATTCGTTCTTCCCAAATACCAGTTCATAAGAATGACATTAAAATAACTTGGTTCGGGTGGCTTCCTTCCCCATGTTGCATTCCTTTTGCCCCCTGCGAGATGGAGCTAAAGCCTGGTCCCCCCTCCCTGGAAAACACTCATGGTTGCACCCAGGAAAATGATGATTCAGACAGATCCTGTGGATATAGATTTCCAATTGTGTAGGGATTTGATTTCTCCACGAATCCATCTTCTGATAGACAGGGGAGCATAAGAAACAGTGTTTGGATTTTGAAGACAGAAAGACATGTCTGATCTGCTAGATATTATGACTCCAAACCTGGTGTGAGTATTTGGCCAAGCAACTCAATCATGTCCAACCTCAGGTTCCTCATCTGTAAATGGGGGCGGTGACATGTGCCTGTTATTGCATGGATTCGCTCCCTTCAGCACATAGTAGGGGCACGGTAGCTACTGTTGCTAGGGTTAGTGCTACTTTGCTTGTGGCAGTTTTCTAACTGATTTTGTCTCTGCATGAGGAGGCAGCAGCTTGGTATGACACATGTGTTATACCTTATATGTGACCTACTGGCTCAATTCAAGGTGATGGTTATTTTTTTCTTGTTCATTTGTAGACTGATCAGTGGCCCCATTTTGGCACACTTTCTTTTCAGCCACCGTTTTCCTTTTTGGAATAACATTTTGCTAATCTCTTCCTGCAAAATCTTGCTCATCTTTCAAAGTCTGGCTGAAATGTTATTTTCCCCGTGAAATCTCCCTGAGTCTTTAGAAATATTCATTTTCAGATCTATTTCTACTTTTAGCACTGCTCAACACGTTTTTTTTTTATATTAAAGTTTCAGCTTTTTTTTTACAGAATGTGTGGGTGGGATTAAAGATGTAGATTTGGAAATTATCCATGGAAGGGTGAGGATTAAAATTATAGGATGATAAAATTATAGGTGGGGCTTTGAGAGATGCAAGGCAATGTAGTATATGATCATATTTCAGGAACAGAAGCAGAAAAAGGACTCGAAGAATGAGAATGTAAAGGAGGGGTCAGAGGAATACAAGAAAACCCAGGATAATGCCTTTATAAAACCTGAGAAAGAAAATAAAGAAGGGGGTGTTCTATATGATCCAGCAGTTCCACATCTGGGTATTTATCTGCAGAAAATGAAAACAGTAATTTGAAAAGATTATGTTCACTGCAGCATTATTTACAATAACCAAGATATGGAAGCAACCTAAGTGTTCATTGATAGATGAATGGATAAAGAAGATGTTACACACACACACACACACACACACACACACACACACACACACAGAGGAATATAACTCAGCCATAAAAAAGACTGTTTGTGGCAATGTAGATGGACCTAGAGGATACTATGCTAGGTGCAATAAGTCAGAAAGCGAAAAACAAACACAGTATGATTTCATTTATGTGTGCACTCTAAAAAAACAACAAAGCAAATGAACAAACAAAACAAAACAGAAACAGACTCATATATTCAGAGAACAAACTGATGGTTGCCAGAGGGGAGGAGGGGACGGGAGGGGGAGGGGAATAAGAGGTACACATTCCCAGTTATAAAATAAGTAAGTGACAGGGATGTAATGTACATCACAGGAAATATAGTCAATACTATTGTAATAACTTTGTATGGTGACAGGTGGTTACTAAGCTTATTATGGTGATCACATTGTAAGGTATATAAATGTTGAACCACTATGTTGTACACCTGAAACTAATATATTGTATGTCAACTATACTTTATTAAAAAAATTAATTAACAAAATAAAGAAGGGAGTGTTCCAAAGTGGCCAAGGCTTATAAAGAAGTCCGAGGATGAGGTCTAAAAAGAGGGATTTAAAAAACTAGACGGTCAGAGGGAATAGGATCAAGACATCTTACATTTATTATTATTAATTTTAATTTTGGAATTTAATTTCCAGGTACTAGGAAGCCAAGGACAGTTTCTAAGAAAAGGAAAAATAGAACTGGAGAGACACAACATTGGCAGATGACAAATCTCAAAACACTTTTGAGAGGAGGAGATGAAAAAGACAGGCTTAATGGAATATCTTAGTGAAGTCAGGAGGGCTGTTTCAGAGCAAATCATTGTTTCCCCTGCCTGGCCTGCTCTCCAATAAATTTACTGATTTTCGTGACGTGAATACAACAATTAAATGAAATATCTTGCCATGGGATCACTTCTGCCTTTTCACAGGGCATTTTATTTGTGCAGAAACTACTGAGTTGTCAGAAAAGTCATGACACATTTTTGCAACAAAAAACATAGAAAAAATACATCATGACTTTTCCGACGACCCAATATAATCAGTTGGTGGTGGTCTCAGCAGACTCAAACAACATAAGGTACCCAGAACAGGACGAAAGCTGCTGTGGTGTTTGAGCCGTAGGAAGTAAAGCTAATGGAGTACATTGGTGTGAATGGATGAAAGGATCAAGGGGCATTCTGCGTCCCTGAATATTTCGTAATGAAAGTGACAAAGAAATACTACTATTTATTAGTAGGGAAACTTTTTTTTTAAGTTTCAAAGGAAAATATCATGGGATTCCCTACCTTCTATTACAGATAGACCAACTCCAAATGAAGATATTCACAGCTAAGATGTGTCTAGAGCATTAGACGACGCAGGCCTTGTCAGAGACCCGAAGCTATGGTTTTGAATCCTGTGCCAACACTTTCTGGCTTTCTGAGATAGCGGGTTGTTGGAAAAGTCATGACATATTTTTTCTATGTTTTTCGTTGCAAAAATGCATCATGACTTCCAACAACCCAATATTTTCTAGTTGCTTAGCCTCCTACTCCTTTGTTCCCTCATGGATGAGAATCATGCCTTTTCTAGAGGATTTGAAAGCTTAAATTTATTTGATACATCTGCCCATAGTGAATACTCGATCAAAGTAATTCCTTAAGCGTTCCACACCTTCCTGTTGCAAGGGTGAGAAATACAAAGAGCAAGTCCAATCTTTGGGGATGAGATTGTACCGTGGAGCTCCTCTCTACTTAGTACTCTCAGTACTTGCAAGGGTTTTAGTAATACTCATTGAATATTTTCTTTTAGTCTTTAACATGTTGCTGTATTTCTACTTTTCTTCCAGTTAAAGATTTGGAAAAAAGAAAGGACCCAAAACCCAGAGTCAAGGTTGTGGACAAAGGAAATGGGAATAAACCATCTGTACCAGAAGGTCAGATTTATTGTTTTTATTTGCTTATTTTGGGGATTGAGCTGTTTTAACACAGGCAATACACACCTCTGTGGCTGTTGGCCCCATCAGAAGAGCACGCATCTAATGTGAAAATTTCCCTCATCCCCATCTCACTCCTTCCTTCCTCACACGTAAAAACTGTCAACACTCTCCTGTCCCTTACCCTCCTGTATTCAATACATCACCAAGTTCTAGTTATTTGCAATTAAAATACTGACACAATCTTTCCCTTTCTTTCCATGTCCGTTGCCCATATTCAGCTACGTTTCCATTTCTTTCTTGGCATACAGTTATTATTTAGCAAAATCGCCATTAGTTGTCTACCCAGAAACTAGAGCAATCTTTTCAAAATAAATATTACCCTATGCTATGTCCACACACACCTTAAAACCCCTTCAGTAGCTCTTAGGATAGAGGCCAGAATCCTTAGCAAGACCTCTGAGGCCTGGCAATTCTCGTAACCTGCCTGGCAATTCTCGTAACCTACCTGCCACACTCTTCTTCCTCATGTAACGACTCAGTGCTTTCTGCCCGCTGGCCCTCTCTCAGACCCTTTCAAGGCCATGGTCTCTCCCAGGTCAGCACCTGCTGTACCCTCTGCATATAACATTCTCCCACATCATCACTCTGCTTAAATACCTCTTTTTTTTTTTCCTTCAAAGCTCAGTTCAACCATTACTTTCTTGGAAGCCTGTGCTAACTATTCTGTTACAGGTTCTCATACAACAACGAACTTGCCTTTACAGCCATTTGTCATAGTTGTAATTTTACATTCACTGATAATTGAATGTTTGTCTTCCCCCCTAGACTGTAAGATCCGAGACAACAAGGATTATGAATGTTTTTGCTCCTCAGCACCTAGCCTTTATGACATGGAAAAGGTGTCCAGTAAATAGACACTGAATAGAAAGACAAATAAATGGTTTGCTAAAAATGTTACCTACGAATAGCGAAAAACAGAGTCACCCATCAACTTACCCCATGGCTTCTTTTCACACTATCCCATGTGAACATTTTAGCCACTGTTCTGTGCATATACAGACATATATGTACAGCCTGCCATATTGTATTTCTTGTTCTGTGAATTGTTTTTTCACTATGATAACTTTCTGTGTTATTGCATACAGGAGGCACGATCGTCTAGGGTAAATGGCACAAGCATTGCATTTGCGTGCCTCTGAGGGCACTGGTGTTGTGGAAGAATTGTCTTAAGATGTAAATTGTAAACAGTAGTAACAACCCAGGCCACAGTCAGGCCCCCAGGAGGTCAAGGGGGAGCATAAAGGGAGTCCACAAAAGACAACAAGGTCTCACCCACCCAAGCCTTAAATACCACTTGCCAATAGCCCCTCTTCCAAGATGTGGTAGCCCCATGATCCACATTCCACTGTGCTTCTCTTTGTTTTCCCTACAGTCTACAATTTTTGGTACAAGCGTCTCCATTGACCATGGCTTGATACAATCAGACATATTTCACATGTTTTATCATTTAAGTTTAAAGGCAAAGAGCTAAGATCCTTAACAGAAGTTGCTGCTGTGTGGCTATTTACTTATTGTCAACCTACTGTATGTGTTGCTTTAAGACTCCAAAACAAACTCCCCAGCAAAAATGGTATTTGCCTTTGGGCATAATATTGGCATATTTGCGTTAGTGGCTGTTTCTCGCTTGTCCAAACAGCTTTGTCCAATTATATTTGGTGTTTTGCATAAGAATGCAGGATCTGATTGAAAAAGATTGAGCAACAGGAAAAGTTGCATAGGGTTTCCTTTTATTTCCTTTTAATGGTTTTCAATTAAGATCTCTGACTCTTTGCTTTTTTTTTATGGAATATTTATTTACTTAGTTTAGTTTATTACAATGAGAAGATAAGGGGAGGGTCCCAACGGTCTCATTTTCTGAGGGGGTGGTGATGAGATGAGCTTAAGTCATTCTTTGAAGAGGTTGGCAAACTGTGGCCCATGGGCCAAGTCCAGTCCTGTGTTTTCTTAAATGAAGTTTTATTGGAACACAGTTGTGCTCAGTCCTTTACATTTTGTGTAGAGCTTGTTTACACTACATCAGAGTTGAACAGATATCATATTGCCTGCCTAAAATATTTTCTATCTTGCCCTTTTCAGAAAAAAGTGTGCTGACCCTTACTTTTGAATGTATTGGAACAGCATCAATTGATGAACTAAGTAATTCATTGCTTGTCTGAGGATATCTGGCCTATTTTGGTATTTCCAATAGGATGTACTCTCACATGTGAACCTTCAAAGGAACCTACTTCTGACATTCCCGATTTTTTTTTTTTTACCTGAAACATGAGCACTCCCAAAAGTTACTTATGAGGATTTAATAACTTAATGTACATAAAGTGCCTAGAAATAGTAAGTGCTACAGAACTATTTGCTATTAATATTATAATATATATTTTGCATGAATTAATATAATCATAGAGCAATTTTTTTCTTATTGATTTAACAATAAATGCATAGAGGAGGTTTGGTGATGATCCCTTAGTACTGAGCACTGAGTTACACACTTCCCAGTGACCATAGTCGGCAGATTCTACCATCATGAAACTTAGATGGTCTAGCAGGGACCCAACACATGCTCCCAGTGCCTTGTCTTGGAGAAGGGTAAGCTCTGAATTATGCATTGGTTGTGGTTGAGCATAACCTGGGAGCATGATAATTCTCAAGGTGTATTTTGACTTACTAGAATTGCTTCCTTATGGTTCTTAGCTCAGTTAAGAGATTGATTTGAAACTTTACAACCTTTTCCATCAGATATTCTGGGTTTTAGCTCTGCTGAACCCAAGACTGTGTGTTCAGTTTAACAAGAGTGGGGCTGGTGAAGATATAAGTTTCTGTAAGGCAGAAATCAAGAGATCAGCTAAAACACAGGGTAATGGGTGGATTTTGTGGGCCAATGCTGGCTAGATCCTGACTCTCAGAGGTGAGAGGGAAGGGATTGTGTCCATTCATCAACTGGACATTGGGGCTAGGTTGAGGGCTAGAATTCATGCAATAAAGTGTTTAGGGGGATGGCTAGCCCATAGAGTATGCTCTGTAAGTGTTCCTCCTCTTAGTCCTCTCCTTCCCCCTTCTTCTCCTTTTACTTCCTCCTCCTGTTCCAGCCCCTCCTTATTCTCTTTATTGTTATAATTGCTATTATCTAGCCAGCTGATACATACTTCAGCACCAACACTAGGGTAGACTAGGGTTTCTCTGCTCATCAGCATAGGGAGACTTCGAGGAAGCCCGTCTGTATGCCTGTGCCCTGGTGGAGAAAAAAGTGTCCTTGAGAATTCATAACCACGGGCCTGTACCATAGTCAGATTAGGCATCAAATGTACACTCTTCAAATGCTCTGAGATCCTCCCCTTCAACAAATTAATATAAAAATTGCTCACAGCTGGTAAAAGTAGGGTGCCTGGTGGAAGCAAACTCAAAATGACATTTGAGGCACATATGCTCAGCTCAAATTCCTGATTGCCACAGATAAAGCAATGTCAAGGAAGAGTCCATAATCTAAACTTTTGAAACACAGAAGTAAACCATGTGCCTTGAGTAAGCATCAGAATACACAAAAATGGCGGTCTCAGGATCCCATGAATTTCAGTTATGGAATGATTACATAAAGAGTATAAAATAACAGTATTGTTAAAGTCATGGAAATATTTAAAACATGAGAAGAAAAGAATAAGAGACTATGAAAAAGAGACTAGGCAGAGCTGCCAAAGAGAGCATACAGAGTTCTGAAGAGCATAAATAAAAAGATATACACACCCAGAATCATGTTAGTGAAACTAGTCAAACACCAAAGTCAAAGAGAAGATTTTACTAGACAAAATGGGAACATGGAGGAATAAAAGTGCTTGTTGAAACAATTTCTACAGAATGGAGATCTAGCTATGTGTAGTTGTCTGTTCTTCAGTTCTTCGGTGGATTAAATAAAAACGCTGTTTTCGAAAAGTGATGTTAATGAATTTAATTTATTAATTTAAAAAAGGCTGAGAAGTCCAGCAAGTTCAACTGACTCAAATGGGTGATGTGTTTGAGGAAGAAAAAATTAATTGATTAATTAAAAAAAAAAGGGTTGAGAAACCCCGATCTAACACAAGTGTGTCACAGAAAAACTGTGATATAATTTTGGTCCTGTTTCGCCTCACTTCTGTACTCCGAGCATTCCATAACATTTCAGAAGCACAGAGCCACTGCAAACATCGTCTATCATGTAGAAGACATTAGACCCACTGTAGGACCCTGGAGTGTCGGTAACCATGCCCACAGGAGAAATCAGAAGATGGCATGAATTACTTCCAACCCAAGATTTAAGAGAATAAAAATAACATTTTCATCAGGATGTTTATTTTTTTTCCTATATACTGGACTTTCCTTTTTCTCTGTCTCTCATTTCCCTTGTTACTTACTGAGATCAGTGCAGCTTAGTATTCGTACACAAGTTTTATGGTCAAGCATCTCTTGGAGTGAAATGTTCCCTTCCTTCCTTGCTAGCTACGCAACTTTAGACATATGAACCCCTGTAAGTCCCCGTTTCCTCATTGGCAAAATGAGTATACTAGTCAAAATGAACAAGCAGAATTGTGAGAAGTAAATGTTATCACATATATGACACACCTGGGGTATAGCAGGCACTTAAGGAATGTCAGTTTCCACCCTCTTTTTCATTTCCTTTTTAAAAAAATGTCTTCTTTTCAAAGAGAAAATATTAGCATACAGAGTACAGCAGAGTGTCTTATGTTATCGTAGCTATTTGTTGCATATTTGGATTTGACTTGGTTTAGACCCAAGGAGTGAGGTTTAGAGTGCCTTGTAGAAGAGTATGTTTTTATAAAAAGAATGTTTTTCTCAGAAAAAAACCCCCCAGAAAATAGGTTTCTGGTTTTTCCTTGATGTGAAGCAATTATTTGTGTTTTCAGGAATTAAAAAAAAAAAAAAGCATGAGACAGAATCAGTCATTCGGAAAATAA